TGAGTCAACCCTGAGCCGGTGAGATTTGAACCGCTGAACTGCTGATCTAGCAGTAGCCTGCAGTGCTGCATTTAACCACTGCGCCACCTTGGGTCACCTGAGTCACTAGAAGAAAGTCCTTCCCACATCAGCCTCCAAGCATTTGGAACAAGGCACAACGCTTTACTACCACAGACTGGCCTACCACTGCCGGCCCAGGAAACACCATCTTATAGGTATTACCAGCCTCACTTGGATAGACAGGCGGATAGAGGATTTAACAGGGACAAACAGAGGTACCACCTTCAATATCAGTCCCACTGTCAGTCCCAGAACAGAAGGCCCTTTAGAAGGGAAAGTGGCCGTTCCTTCTGCAGGGGGAAGTAATTCCTTCGGGGATCCTCCAAATGGCGGTCACCTTGCCATCTTTGTGGGTTCTTGGGAGGCAGTCACCACAGATGCCTGGGTACTTAGCACAGTATGTCAGGGTCTTAGGCTCAAGTTCTTTTCCTTTTTCCCCAATTGCTTTAGAATATTCCCTATGTCCAAGGTCAAGGAAAAGAGTAAGCTCATGAGAATGGCAATCTCTCATCTCCCTGACATTCAGGCAATAGAACAGGTCCCGGAAGCAAAAAAAGGTTGGGGTTCTACTCCAACGTCTTTGTGGTCCCTAAAGCATCAGGGGGTTGGAGAGCTACCCTAGACCTAAAATCCCTCAACCGTCATCTGGTGTATTGCAGATTCAATATGTCATCATTGAAATTAATCCTAGCGGGCATTAAGGGAGAGAGACTATTTGGCCTCCATTGACCTAATAGAGGCGTACCTGCACGTCCTGATTTTTTCAGATCATAGGAATTTTTTCAGATTTTCATATGCAGGCATACATTACCAATACAGAGCACTCCTGTTTGGTTTAGCGTTGGCGCCCATAACTTTCACAAAGGTGTTGGCAGTGGTGGCTTATCTTTGGGCAGATCATTGAGGATCCAGTGCTACCTGGACAACATCCTAGTTGGTTCAACATCTGTGGCCTGGGCATGGTACGATCTGCAGTTGACGGTACAGACATTGCAAAATCTGGGGTTCTCTGTGAACTTTCAAAAGAGCCACCTGCAACCCATCATGAGACTTCAGCATCTGGGGGCTATCATCGACAGGTGCGGGGCAGGTCTTCCTGTCGCCGGACCAAAGAGACAGCCTCGTCCAACTAATATGCCAGGTACATCAGGCTCGGTCGGTGTCTGTATTCACGTAGTCCAGCCTCATAGGAAATATGATTTCTTGTATTAGCATTGTGCCTTGGGCCTGCTTGCATGCCAGGACCTTGCAGTGGATGCTAATTACATTCCAGTGCCAGAGCACCAACGGATCCACAGTGTTGCTACACATCTCTCAATAAGTTCTTCTCTCCCTGCGATGGTGGCTGTCCCCAGCCCTGAATGTGGATTCCGAGATTTGGGAGTCACCTCACCTAATGCTCACCACAGATGCCATCCTTTATGGTTGGGGAGCAGTGCTAGAAAACCAGTTCGCGCAGGGACGGTGGATGGAGGCCGACCTCCCGCACAATGTAAACTGGCTGGAGCTCAAAGAAGCCTATCTAGCACTCCTCCACTTCCAGACTCGGCTCAGGGGCCAACATGTGCTCCTGCTAACAGACATTGTGGTGGTGAAGGCCCATGTACATCAACATTGGGGCACCCACTCCAAAGCCTTATGGGTGAAGGCCCTGAAGCTGAGCACGTGGGCGGAGAGACACCTGGCATCGATTGTGGCGGAATACATCTCGGGAATGGCGAATATACAGGCCGATTGGCTCAGCAGGGCCATGGTAGACCATGGGAAGTTGGGATGCCAGAGGTCGACCTTTTTGCGATACTGGTGAACACTCAGCTCCCACGATTCTTTTCCCGGTTCCTGATACATGGAGCAGAGGACATAGATGTATTCTGTTGCCGCTGGCTGGCAGGCCTTCTCTATGCCTTCCTTCCCCTCCCACTCCTCCCAGGGGTTATCAGAAAGCTGGAGGCAGAAGGGCCAGAGGTGTTACTAGTGGCTCCACACTGGCCCAGGAGGGCCTGGTTTGTGGACCTCTTCCGCCTGTCAGTCTCCCCCCATGGAGGATTCCTCGGGATAAAATTGTCTTGTGTCAGGGGGTCCTGCTCCACCCGGAGCCCCAGTTGTTCCAGCTGACCACCTGGCACATGAAAGGCAGATCCTGAGGGTGGCCAACATTTCAGATAAGATGATCTCGACCATCAAGGCCTCCAGGACTCGACAACTCACATCTACAACGTGATTTGGTTGGTGTTTGCTAGGTGGTATGTGGGGAAGGTCATCGATCCCATTGTAGCATTCCCACCACAGGTTCTGGAGTTTCTGCAGGATGGCCTTGAGAGAGGCCTATTGCATAACACGCTCCATCACCAGGTGGCCGCACTATCCACAGTTCTGGGAGATGGTCATCTTCCACCCTTAACCCAACAGCTGATCAACTGTCGTTTCCTGAAAGGGGACTCCAATTTGTGGCCCCTGGTGGTCCACAGGTTCTCCTCATTTGATCTCCCCACAGTTCTACAAGCCCTAGTGGGCGAACCATTTGAGCACATTAGAACAGTCTCACTCCAGTTCCTAATGCTTAATGGTGGTGGTCACCTCAGCTAGGCACATCTCGGAACTCAGGGCACTTTCCTCACAACCTCACCTATGCATCTTCTACGAGAACAGAGTGGTTTTTCGATTGGACCAAACCTTCCTCTCAAAGGTCAATTCTATTTTCCACAGATCTCAGGAGATGGTCCTCCCGGACCTTTGCCTGGGGTCATCTGGGGAGAGGGAATGTCAGTGGCTTAGATTCGATGTCCGTAGGTCTCTACAAATATACCTGAAAAGGACAGCCCTGTTCCGAAGATTGGAGGCTCTTTTTGTCTCCTTCCAGCTTTCCTTCTTGGGGGCTAGGGTATCCCCGTCCACAATCAGAAGGTGGTTAAGAGGTGCAATTGTGAGGGCCTACAAGGCACACCACCTCCAGTCCCAGAAGGAATAACGGTGCATTCCACAAGGAGTGCTGCCACCTCAGCTGCCTGGAGTACCAGTGTCCCCATAGAGGATATCTGCAGAGCAGCGCCCTGGACATCACCGTTTCCATTTATTTGGCACTATCGGCTGGATGCATTTGCATCAGCGGATGTGTAGTTTGGCCGCAGAGTGCTTCAGCAAGTACACTCATCCAGATGGACAGAACAGTCTTAGTGACCCACCCATCAGGATGTTAACTCTGGTACGTCCCACTCTTGAGCCATCCTGCTACATCTATGGAGAACATATGTTGTCTTACCTGAACGTTGTTTCTCATGGATCAGCAGGATGGCTCAGGTCCCTCCCAATGGTTGGAGCTGGTTGTTAGCTAGTTGGTGGGGAGAAGCTCCCTTGTTTGTCTTCCCTTATTTGTTTGACATCCTTGATGCTATGTCCTTGTTAAACTGGGGCCAAGGAAGAGGAGAGTCATAGGTGTGGCTTCAGAATTATTGACTCAGTCTCTGGACCAATCAGAGCATGAGAATACCCACTTCTGAGCCGTCCTGCTGATCCATGAGAAACAACGTTCAGGTAAGAAGGTATGTTTTCATTCCCTTGTTGAAATTGTAGAAGGGAAGGGAAGGGAATATAGTCTTTATTGATTAAGTCATTTGACCGTATCAACTATATAAACTAATATACAAATAGATAAAAAATAGGACATGCTTATAGTAAGTTTTATTTCTACAGTCTTCAAAAGAGCCTTTGAAATAAAGAGTACAGTCTCACTAATGCTATAGAAAATAGCAATAAGTAACACTTTTGGGTACCCTCATAATTTTTAGATTTTAAATAAGAATCTAAGAAGGTAGCCCTTTCTGCAGACCACAGTTTGCAGCCAAAAAGAATGTGACTGGTTTTTTTATATTTACATCCAAATATTTATTGAAAGTGCTTTTTAAAGCCATGACAAAAGATTACAGTTACAGTTTAAGGTCACAAGTGGAAAATTACAAAGCCTCTGGGATGCAATAGTTGCAATTAATAGAATGTAGTATGCTAATTCTCATAAGAAAAGTCTGTGACTGGGCAGGAAAGTGAAGGAAATAAAAATGTGCAAGAATGTTGGGGACAGATTTCCAAAACTTCAGGATGATAGTCAGAAGTGGGTCGCAAGTCCCTGCACTCCCAGTTCGCCCATGCTTGTGTGCATGCACAATGCTTCTGCGCATGTGCAGAAGCGGGTGAGTGGAGCCTCCCACCGCCGCCACTACTGATTTGCCTGATCTGTGCCAAACAAGGAGCAACCCACCTCTGATGATAGTGCTAGCATGATAATTTGAAACACAACCAAAAGACTGAGTTGTTCCATGGTTTGAACTAAGGCAATAGAAATGACAAATTGAGTTGTTTTATTAAGCCTTGCTTTTGTCTGCAATAGATTGCATGTTAGGACAAAGGTCCACTTTGTTTTATGAGCTTGCTCATCTTGGTTTCATTGTGGCCTATTCTGAGAATATTTTTCAAATGGCACTTGCAGATGCCAAAGGTATTGTTACGTGCTGCCAGTCCTTCAGTATTGCTTACATTTTTAGTAACTGCTCTTACTTACATTATGCTGGAAATCACAAAAGTTGTAAATTGAATGTAATAAACACAAGTTTATTAGATTTAAGTATGTTTATTGTCGTGAATAGGCAGACAATAGTAGAGGAGTGACACATTTCAGGATGAATGATTTGAAGAAACCTTGCCCTCTAAATATAGGGCACTGCTAGTTAGATGAAGAATCTGCTAACAGAAGTTATTTAAGATATCAAGAAATACTCAATCGTACTATGCTTTTAATGTAGAAACTATAACAATTGTACTGTAAATAATTTGGCTTTTTTTTTGCTATAATGATAAAGAAATGTCCAAATGGTCAGCGCAAAAATAATGTGAAAGATATTATAAATATGCACTCATTCCTGAAGCTGTACTGTTTGTTTTGTTTATAGAACCTTGGTTTCAGCCTATGGAGCGGTACTCTATCATTTCCATCATAATAGTGATTGTTATTTTGTACTGGTGCCAGTTCGCTACAGTAGGTAAGTACTAAATTCCTTTTTCTTTATTAATACTGATATCAATAAAGTTTGTTAATGTGTGTATGTTTGGAATATGTATGGAATAATGCAAAAGAAGTTTGTGCTTTACATGATTAAAAACTTATGTAAGCATCTTCATTTTGAGCAGTTTGTGTAATTGCTTACTAATGTTTTTTTGACTGCGGAAATAACAGAATAAAAGGTGACACTGTAATTAATTAAAAACTGCTACCCTTTCATTTGTGACATCTATGAGTATTTATTAATACCTTCTATAACACTCTGCACTAAAAAAAAGTTTGTACTTGGCTGTGGGTGTTCAACATTTGGCCATAGAGTGACACAAGTTGAATACAAACAACTATCATTCTGTAGAAAATGTCATTTCTTTTAATGTCATTATTTCTATAAATTAAGTTTTATATTAATAATATAAAAGCAATATGTTTCTGAATTTTGATAGATATGCTACAATGAGAAGGAATCAGTATGTGTGTTCTGCAATGCCAGAGCAAATCCATTTACTTTATAGAATTACTAGATTAGGAGATTAGGAGAATTTTGTTGAGAGTACTTGGACCTCAGTTCTTGGTCTTCAACAGTATCTTGAATGAAATTTTCCTTAATAAAATGGTAAAATGTGGACAAGATGGCCCTATTGTTAAAAAGACTTGGTTGAGTGATCATGCCCAAATAATGCTAATGAATGGTTCTACTTCTGTTTGAAGAACTGAATGTCATATTGAAAAGAGAGTAGACTTACAGTACTTTGTGCACAAGGCAAAACCAGAACCAATGAAAAGTGCTTCAGGCTACGTTCAGTAGGAATTGCCTAACTGTATGAGCTATGTGAACAGGTTGCCACCTGAAGTGAAGAAGTTAGTAGAGTTCTTTAAAGGTTTAATGATCATTTGTCATAGATCAGTGTTTCTCAGCCTTGGTGACTTTAAGTCCTGTGGACTTCAACTCCCAGAATTCCCCAGCCAGCTATGGGGAATTCTGGGAGTTGAAGTCCACAGGACTTAAAATCACCAAGGTTGAGAAACACTGTCATAGATAGTCTAGTGCACTCTGGGAGTCTTGTTAGTTTCTTAATATAATTCTTTTTGCTATGCCCCATGCCTGAGATAACTGGAGATCACCTCAGGTACTGCAGGTCTCCCATTGTTTCTGCCTACCTAATATGCTTGCTACTACTGCCCCTTCTCTCTAGATCCCTTCTATTAAATGTTGCCATTGTGTGGGACCCAGGAAGCATGGTAGTTTCTTTGTCACAGCCCCCAACCAGAGGAATAGATAGCATCCATTTTCCTGAGGTATTAAAATCCCCATAAAACATGGAATATTTTGGAACATAATTCAAAATAGGCTTCATATTTTAATATGATAATATTTACACATAAGTCTGGGCAAATTTTATTTTTATTATTTATTTTTATATTTATGTAATTTTTTTATACAATATTATTTCAAATTTGCAACCATCCAGATAGATATATTCTTTTGCATCCAGATGTATATATTCTTTTGCAATCCTGAATTTTCAGGCTTCTAATAACATATAAAAGGGTGTGATCCTGAAGATCTAATAAGTAACTACTGTTTCACTGAAAGCAGTGGTACTATTACCTGATGTAATATAACTTACTTATATGCTACAAAGTATCCTATGATATACATTTCTAAGGATTTATGGATGAAATTAAGATGTATGCTAGAACTTTGATCAGGTACTACCCTGTTTCCCCGAAAATAAGACCTCCCCAGGTAATAAGTCCAATTGGGCTTTTGAGCGGATGCGCTAAAATAAGCCCTCCCTGAAAATATTGCAACACAGCAGCAGCCTTTAGGTGACCACGTTCGCTGCCTCCTGCACCTCAAAAATAATAAGGCCTCCCCGAAAATAAGGCCAAGCACTTATTTGGGGGGGGGGCAAAGAAAATAAGACCCTCTCTTATTTTCTGGGAAACATGGTACTTTAATAGGCAGGCAGAAAAGGAAGGACCAACTGTAATTCTCTTGCTTCAGCTTCATATCTTAATGGCTTTTAATGTTATTAATGATAAAACTTGTTTCTTTAGATTGGGAACTGGAAAAATTGTTTCATATCTAGCTTCAAAACATAGTGTGAGGAGACTATTGTTCATTTATTTTTTTTAAAAAAATTCTGATATTCGATAAAAATCTATTCTACAAGGTTTTTAGCTATGCCATTTAGTTTATATTTTCATGTCATACTTATAAAATGATATCATCCAAACATAGATTTTGCTTTATTTACTGTATATTTTCCTCCAGTTTAAGTAAATACTACATTTATATCTTTCTATGGGAGAGATATGGGAAAGATAAGATGTGGTGGCTCAGTGGCTAAGACACTGAGCTTGTCAATCAGAAAGGTCGGCAGTTTGGCAATTCAAATCCCTAAGCGCCACATAACGGAGTGAGCTCCCATTATTTGTCCCAGCTTCTACCAACCTAGCAGTTCGTAAGCATGTAAAAATGCAAGTAGAAAAATAGGAACCATCTTTGGTGGGAAGGTAACAATGGTCCGTGCACCTTCGGTATTTAGTCAGGCCGGCCACATGATCATGGAGGTGACCAGACAGCGATGGCTTTTTGGCTTTGAAACAGAGATGAGCACTGCCCCCTAGAGCCAGAAACAACTAGCACACATGTGTGGGGGAACCTTTACCTTTACCTTATGGGAAAGAAATAGAGTTTAGTCAGTAAATAATGATCATAAAGCCATCATAATTACTTTGAATTTGTAGGGATTGAAGGAGCTGTTCATTTACAGTTAAATGAAGGTTCATAGTCTGAGGATTTTCCTACTCTATCATTGGGACTACAGATTGTTTTGTGAATACGAGGGCTCTCTTATTAATGTGTTTCAGTATTTTTGTATCATACGATTTATATTTGATGTTATAAACAAGCTGAACAATTATTTATTTAGCTGCCTGTCTTATACATGCTAATCCTGGGTGGTTCACAAAAAATTCCATTAAAACAGAAAAAGTATAACCAACAGAATTCCATCATCACATCATATCAGGGGAGGATAAGATTTCTTTATTTGGTTATTTAAGAAAATTTATATTGCCCCCTACTCACACATGGCGACTCAAGGGGGGCTTAAGGTAAGGTAAAAGTTCTCTGTGCACACATGTGCTAGTCGTTCCCCACTCTTACACGACTTAACACTAATATAAAAATTATATGAAAGAAATAAAAAGTATAATAATAAAATAATAGATTAGTAAAATAATAACCCCCACCCCAGCAACAACACACATTCATACAAACCATTTAATGTGCTCCATCCTGCTTTGGGTTCCCCTGGTCTGCTGGCAGAACCACGTCTTCAGTGCCTTCTGAAAGAGTTTTGGGTGGGGGCAATCTAATGCTTAATGCTTTCTTTAAGAGAACTTACTTTGAACCTCTTTTGTTTTAATCTTGGATACATTTTTATGTTTATGTTATCATTTTATCAACATTAAGTAAGAATGTCTTCCTTAATATAATTTTTGCTTATTTTGTAAATAGATTTATATTGTAAATCCTGTGGTAATTTTTATTAAAGATGGAATAAGCATATTCATGAGAGCTCAGTTGGTTCAGTAGTTAAAGGGTTAATAGGAGTGCAGAAGCCAGAGTTCTAGTCTTGTCATAGGCAGAGAAACTAGAAACTGGTTAACTTTGGGCCAGTCACTCTCTCTCAGCCTTAGATAGATACCAATGGCACTTCCAAAAATGTTGTCTAAAAACTGCATAGATTTGTCTACGTAATCCCTATGCGTGAAATCTGATTTTATGGCAAAAATCATAGTAATCCTTCCTATCTATATGGAATCAATAGAGATTAAGTAGAATGATGTGGCATTAACTCCAAATATCAAAATGAAAGGTATCATTTAAATCAGGTTGCTGATGAAAAAAAAGAAAAAATAAAGCTAATCTTCAATCCCAGTTGTTGGAAATGTTCACTTAGTTCTCTGAGTGAAAATTTTATGGCCAATCTTAATATACTTTTCATTCTATACTGAATCATATTTCTAATTGGTAGCATATATGAGAAAGAACAAGTTTTTTATTTTACTTACTAAATAATATTCTTCTCCAATTTACTTAGAAATATTTGTAAACTTTGTGGTGACATGGATGGCACACAAATTAAATAAATAAATTTCTCTGTGCTGGCTATTTTACTATATCTGTGCAGTATAATCTTTCTTGAAGATGCTAACTCTATACCTACTGGCCTTACTTCATGGCACACTGATTATGTAAATCAATATAAAACTGTTTTCAAACATTTCTTTTTTAAAAATATTTTTTTATTTTAAATACAAATAATGCAAACATAGTACATATGAAGCTAAATTCAAAAAAGGGGGAAAATACAAATATTATAGTTCACCCTTCCCTGAGACAATTTTTCCTTATATTTCTTCTTCTATAACAACTAAAAGATATACAATATATTCCAATTCTACCCTTGTGCCCTCCAAGGGCACAATTCTTGAGTAGGTTTATTCCCTTTGCCTTTCACTAATATTATTTTTATAAAATCCCCTCATATTTCATTATGTTGTTTGCTTTAATCATCCCTTTTTTAAATTTAATTTCTATTGTTAATTTATCATTTGTTACCATACTCCAAATTTCATTACACCACTCATTTCTTTGAATATTCCAATTTCGTCCCCAATATTTACCCATCACTAATCTAGCTGCCATTATCAAATTTACAATTAATTCCTTTTTTGTTTCATTTATATCCGGTTTTTCCACCAGCAACAGTAATGCAATCCTCAGTGACATATCTACATTTACATTCAAAAGTGCTCTAATTTCTCTAAATACTATGTCTCATATTTTTTGTGCACTATCAAAATCCACCACATATGTTTATATGTTCCGACCTCTTTCTTGCACCTCCAACAAATATTTGTATATTTGTCATCTATTTGATTTAATTTACGTGGTGTTATGTACCACATCCATATGACTTTAATTTTCAAACATTTCTTCAAAAAAAAAATCCAGTTCCAATGGTTAAGATACCAGGCTAGAAATCAGGAGACTGTCGTAGGCATAAAAGATGACTCTGGGCCAGTCACATCTTACCTCACTGGGCTGTTGCGGAGAAAATAGGAAGAGGAAAGAGCATTAGTTATGTTTGCCACCTTGAGTCATTTATAAGAATTTATAAAGGCAAGAAAAACATCTAAAAAATAGGTTGTAGAAAGAAATTATTAGTAGCTTTTCATTTGTTAAAAGTTGTTCTTTAGAACTGATTGCTTTCTATATATCAAAAACCATGCTGTGTTTTTTCGCCTTGTGCAACAGCTACAGCGATAATATTGATTTATAAGGTGTATTTTCTCGTACATATCAAAAATCGTGCTGAGTTTCCTGGTTCATGCAATATCTGAAATTGTAGTGTCTAGAATAGAAATGGCCAGTTTGTTAAAAGTGCTTCTGGCAAAAATAAGAATGGTTGGTAATAGTGTTCGGTAATTCCAAATACCTCTCTTTAGGAGCTACATGACCTTAACAACCACTAGTTGGAATAGTCCATTTAAAAAGCCTTGCTTTTGCTGGTAAAAAAGGCAGACTTGCATTGCTGTTGGGGAAATCCTGTTAGTTAAGGGAGTTTGGATAGGTTATCTCTAGTAAGCAATAATTTGCTAGTATAAAATATAGGAAAAAACATGTTTCATAATTTGAAGTACATTGCAAAAAAAAAAATATCATGAACGCCATATAGTGGCAATATTGATTTCCCTATGTCTTTCTTTCAAATTAGAATCTTTGTTTAAATCAGTGATACGAATCTTATATTTTAGAAAATAAATATTTTAAATTAACCTGTACTACTGTATGTCTGCCTTATGCAATATTTCATTCAAACCAGCGTAAATTAGTCTGAGGTATTTATTAACATTAACAGTTCCAACCAAATTCAGTTGAAGTAAATTTCACAATATTAACATCTTGTAACTCAAGCTGCCTTTATTTGAGGGAAGTACAAGGTATTGTAGCTTTGATCCTGTAATCATAACCATGACAACATAAAAAGTCCAGACTTGCTTGCAAAGAGCAAGTGACTCATGTACCAGAAGCAGTTTACAGGAAATTAAGTAAATACCAGTGATGAAACAAGCTCCATTGTGGCTCCATTTATAGGAACTTTGCATTATATTTTGACCTAGAAATCTTTAAACGTTAAACAGATCAGACAATTAAACAGAAAGACAAGGAAAGGAAGCAAAGATAAAGCTAAGTGAGGTGGAGGAAACTGTTTAAAAATAGGAAAGCACCCATGATTTTGTATCTTTGACAGCTTTATTGTAGTGATTCCAGTTCTCCCAAGGCTTTTAGGCGGAAAATCCAAATCCCGAGTCAAACCAATAAACTTCTACAGTATCCCAGGATAGTTTGGACTGGATGAAGATGGGAGGAGGGACTCTCTTTTCCCAACCTAGATCTCAGTTCCTGCCTTTAATGGAATAGCACAGTGGCTTATAAACTATTTAAAGTTCAAGAGTTATGAATTACTTAAAGAGTTACAACCTTTCCAGCTGTATCAGTCACAAATCATGAGTGTGTCTGTAGATCTATTATTATGTGGTTAATCTTTGGTGAGATTCACAGCCTTTGGGGCTGGTTGGTAGCTCAATAGCTCAAATCCTCACCAAGGACCTAGGAACTGTTAAGGTAACATCAGAGAATATAAGTAGGGTGGTTTTTTGTAGAATCAGAATGTTCAAGTTTGATAAATTTAAAATTTCCAAAAAGCGAGGTAGCCCTTTGGGTATTGCTCCAAGGGCTCCAATTACAATTGGGAGAAAGCACAATTTCTTTTTCCATAGTCGCTCAACTTCAATTTGCAAGCCCCGGTACTTTGTGATTTTTTCTTGCTGTTTATCTTC